GAAAAATTTTGTCTTTTATCGTCTGATGTTCTTCTTTTCGTAAACGAATTGCGACCAATCGTAATGAGAACTCCGTGGCGTAGTATAATCTATTGAGAACCATTTTGGGGCAGGACACACGCAATTTCGAAACCGAATTTAGAAGACAAGTAGAAAACTTTTCGAGATACATGTTGATATATAAGATCAGGATTAATAATTAAGGGTTTTACAGAATTTCAGAACCATCCACGCTTGTAATTAACGAAAACGTTTGCAGGTAATTAGGAATCAAAGAGAATTAATCAATTCATGGGAAGTAAAACTAATTAACATCTAAAATATTTACTCATTTATTTCTACTTAAACATTTTAGGTAAATGAATTGTTTTAACATTGTTATTATTATTCGTAATTATTTATGATGCCCTGCAAACTGGTATAAAACAGTTGTGGCCGAGAGGGCGGTGTTTATCACCTGAAAAATATGAAAATATACAGGGTGTCGATGTTAATGAACAAATGAAATTGATTAGTTTTTAGGTAGTAGATTAGGTACTTTAGAGAATGTTTCCATGGTAACTGTAAGATATCGTCCTGCTTGAATTGCAATCGGTCGATTACATCTCATCAGGATGGTGAAAATGTATTTCCTGGTACGGGGGTTGCAAATATACCACGGTGAATTGTATACTACCCCTTGAAATTTCGTACCCTAAACAAAATAAAAATCAAAATTTTTGACGAAACCTTAATATATATGTAAATACCTCGTCGTTAATTTGTTGAGCCGAATAAGTGAAAAGAAACAGTTGAAATATGGCGTTCCCAATGAATTGCACTATTACAACCCCGTATTCACTTCTAATCTATAAGAAAAAAATGCAAAAAGTACCCAAGATATGGGTAGCTGCTCTCTGTAAATAAATTTCAAAAATCTTACAATTAAACAGGCAAATGCAAACCAAATCAGATAAAACAAATTATAAATCAATTGTATTAACAGTATTGGTCCCATTAACTCGTTAATTTCATTCACGTATTCTAATATTTCTTGATGCCTTTTTATGTGCGTGGTCATATTTTTTCTTAAGCAGCAATTGAACTTTTCGGAATGTATCAAATTGGTTATCATTTCTTCGTACTTTTGTTTATTGCGTTTCATGCTACAAAAATTCATTTGTTCGACTTATTTTGCGCTCGTGCTCAACTGTTTCTTAAACATTTTACTTACGTCATGGTACCGTCTTTGCAATTGTTTAATTGATAGTATACGTCCATGGCTTCCTTCGCGAAAGATTTCGGAAAGCCCACTTCAACCATTGTACTGAAGAAGGCTTCTTTCACTTCGCAACCTGCAAATTAATTAAACAAAAAAATATTTTTTTACAAAAAAAGAAATATTTAATTTTCCCATACATAAAAGTTGAAGCTGCGTGGCTGTCAATTTGACAACTGTAACGTAGAAACAATCGATTGCAACGTGAGCAAAACCCACCATATACAGCGCATAAAATTGTACAAAAAAGGTGACCTCGTACCAGGGTGATTTTCGCCAATCGTACGGCAACCAAGTTTCAACGATAATGTTTCTTTTTGGTAAGCAAAAACAAACAAAAATTGAAAAATTGTTAGTATCTACGTTTAATTAATAGATAGGTATATGTCAAAATTTCAAAGCATCATCATCCCTCTGTATATACCACCTAAGGCGTTTTTGTCCGTAACTCTGTTAAAACCCATTCAGTAAAAAAAAAAATGGTTCGGAATGGAACACCCAATATATTTTTAATTTTTGGTTTCTTTGTATAATTTTAGGTCGACTTTATTAACAGTTCTCTATACGTATTTTTTGAGATATTCAACTGTCTTTGAAACAAAACACGATTTCAGCTATTTGAATGAGATCAAATAGCATCTAAACCATAAAAACTAAAAACCTGCGGTTTGGACAGTTCGACAGGGCTTTTAATTTTGTATCGAACGGTACCATTTAATATGGGTATTCCTTTAAAAAAAAAGTTATTTGTCTTTTAAAATTGTCAAAAGTAAATGTCTATATTTCCGGTTCTGACACGTTTCGTCCTTAGCAAAAAAGACACGGAAAGTCGTACTCAAACGAAACTCTCCAGACCGCAGGTTTGTAGGTTTTATGGTTTAGATGCTATTTGGTCGCATTCAAACAGTTGAAATCGTGTTTTGTTTTAAAAACAGTTGAATAACTGTTATACAAAGAAGCCAAAAATGGGCGTTCCATTTAAAATAACGAAGTTAGGTAGCGTCCCCCGATCAATTTTATATATTTATTAAAGCTAAAAAATTACCTCTCGTTATAGCGAATATTATTGATAACTGCTAATGTCTGAAAACCACTGCATGCCACAATAGTACTTATATAAAATCCGATCATAAAAATTTTCAAATGACGAACAGTTTTGTGAATATCTTTTAAAGTAAAAATAGTCCGGCTCTGCATTCGTACAAACGTCTTCAAGGTACTATATACATGCATAATCTTGTCAGACCTCAAATATAAATACGTCAAGTTTATTAGGGCTCCTATATTAACAGCTAAAATCAGAATGAACATCATTATCTACATACGCACGTACATATCTAATTAAAAGAAAAATTAATTATCCACCTTCGATTGATAGTAATCTACCAGCCAATACCCAGTCGACTCCACCAGAAAGCAGTGTTATAGACAATGGTACGAACAAAAACAATTGGGAAAAAATATTAAAATTGCGAAGGGCATTGTAGAATAACTTTTTAAAAATTGTTTTGGGTTTCTCTGCGACAACGATCATCGATATGAAAACCATGTATTCAAAAAATGTGTAGTACGATTTTATCGCCATTTTGCCGATGTCGAAACTCTACTACCCCTAAATGTCACCTGTTTCTTAATATAAACCCATGGAACATTTTTTTTTAATTACCGGGGCGTGGTGGAACTTGTACGACATTTTACACCTTTTCCAATTTTTTGAATTATAAATTATACAGAGAGATTAAAACCTATAATTACATGTAATGTACTTTTGTGTATATATAAAAATGTAATAAATCGATAACTACTGGACTTGGTTGCCATTTTAGGGACATGAACTGAAGTAACAATTGCCACCTTGTTTTTAATAAAAACAAAACAATGAAAGTTTTCGTGCGCGCATTTGTTCAAAGACTAAAACAAAAAGGAATAGAAAATGTGGTCAAAGGCCGCGCAATATTACTGTGCGCTTTTGTTTATCGCTATTCAGCATGCATCCCTGCGATTTTCACATGAAGACGGTGGCAACTGTTTTTGTTATTGCCTCTCTCTCCAGACATTCGCCGAATTCTATGCTATCAGCCGTGAGAATTTTGTCAACAATTTTTAAAAAGTCGTTCGTAAGCGATTTTTTGCACTCACGCAACGTTTTACATATAAAGTAGGCGATCATTGAGTAATAGCTTAGTTGGTTAATAGTTTTTTGTTTTGTCCGTCGAACGATATTTTTCGAGGTATGCTTCATCAGAACTTGTTTTTAGGGGTTGTTGTTCTTCTGCTGACGGTGCGTATATATATATACAATAAAATTCGTTCGAAACGACATTCTTTTGTTTATTATTCATTTTTTCCTTTGTATAGACGCTTTCCTATACAAAATGCTGTTCGAGTTGTAGTGGCAAAACAAACCCATCCGCAAACAGCCTGGATCAACAACTGCAACAGGTTTACTACCCTTCCTCTGTGCAATCCCAACAAATTCCGACAACCCAGGTTGTACAATATGCCTCCCAAATTCCTCCCTCTCAGTCCCAACCGCAACAGCAGCAGCAACAACAGCAACAGCAACCCCTATCTTCGTCAGTGTCTTCTCTAAATAAACCCCCGGCCACCAAATCCAATGCGCAGCCACCCTCGGCGCCGAGTGGAGGAAAAATCCCCGTCAATCTGGTGCCCGACGTGTTAATCTTTGAACTGTTGCTCACGTCGCCCCTCTGGTCATCCCTTAGCAGTTCCCTCAGGGGTTGTATTTTGAACAAGCTCGAGACGGAGGCCCAGTCGTCTTTGAGGTATTTAATAACCGAAGGTGAGGGTAGTATTTTGCAACAATTGGCGTCCTCCGCCGCCGCGCCGCCAACCCCAATTGCGTCTCAGTCACCCTCCGCTGCTCTCAGCCCTAGTTACGGTTATCAAATTGCTGGACAACAATCACCCTCTTCGTATGTAAAGGCGATGGATCAACCAATTGTTTCTTCCCAAAGTTACGTGGCACCCTCGGGACCTCAAACAATCCAAAGCGGGTATGGCACAATTAATCAGGGCTCTTCCGTGTACCCCCCCTCCTCATCTAACGCCGGCTATCAGCAAACAAATGCTGTTTATCAACGATAATATTTATAACGTAATATACGCAATTGTTTCAATTAATTGTTAATTAAAACTTATTTTTTTTCCCTTGTTAAATTGTTGATGTTTATTATTATTAATCATTATTATGCTAAAGTGAAATTTTACAATGGGTAATTCGTAGTTCAATTTTTCATTTTCGTTAATTTAATGTTGAACGGGATCAACCAGTTAATAAAAGTTTATAAGTTAAGGGACTCACACCAGATGGCAGCAGATGGCGGGTTCTCGTTATAATATTGTACGTAAGGTTTGTAAATTAAGTTACTAGATGGCAGCAGATAGTGCGTTCTCGTTAAAATATTGTGCGTAAGGTTCGTAAATTAAGTTACTAGAGGTCAGCAGATAGCACATTTTTGTTAAAAAATACATATTATTAATTAATTATAATGGTTTCTTTCGATTATTAATTTTTGCAACCCTAAAATTGTTACAGTAAAAAGAGAATTATTTTTTTGTTGCAGTTGTTTCAAACGTAATAAACTTAAAAGTAGCAACAATTGTTACCAAATATTTTTGTTTTTTTTTTTACCGATGCACTTTTATTTTAAGTGATTCATTTTTTGTAACACATTCTACTTTCGACTCTTTTTATAGGGAAACAAAAGAAAAGAAAACATTTTCAACAAAACCATTTATTGTAGCCTTATATACATACAAAAAAATTAAACGAAATGTATATTCCAATAAATTCAGCACAGGGTCGTAATTATTAATTACACATACACCCAATTCAAAAAAAGTCAGCTGCCCTATTTCTTTTGGGAACATTAATTTTTAACAAATCATCAGTTAAATTATCGTCGACCCTCTTTTTGCCTAAATTTATTTTTGGGGTAACTGCCCGTCTTATTGATACCGGGGTGACTCTTCGGGGAGTAATCGAACGTCCTAGCGGACTCGGAGAAGTAAGGGGTGATCCAAACTCCGAACTGCCCAACTTCAATCTTGACGTGGCCAATCTTCTTGCTGCGGGCGACATTAACGCTAAGCGATCGCTAAAAGGGGTGTTGGGTTTCGGGGAAGGGCTGAAACAAAGATTAAAGTAATTAAAACAACTGTAACCAAAACAAAAGAAAACAGAAACAACTGCAACAAAATTTTAAAACAAAACAACTTACGTTGCAAACTGCCTCCTGGCAACGTCCATAGCTTTTCGTTTGTCTTCGCGATGTTTTTCGCCAACTTTTTCGGCCAAAGCCAATGCAATCTTCTCACGTTTTGCAGGCTCCGCAATTTTAAAAGCCGGTCCTGGAGTTCTGAAACAAATTGAGAGTTCGATACGAAATTTAAAACAGAAAATTTCGAAACTTACTTCGGTATGGGCGTATCGCTGCCATCTAGTCTGAAAGGAGTGCCTTCTATTTCACCCCACGTCATGAGAGGACTCTGCGCCACCCCTGGATACGGGGACGGACTTCTAACGAGTTTGAAACCGTTTATTTTGGGAGTGTCAGGTGGGATCAGTTCCTTACCGTCTACTCCAATTTTACCATCCAAAACCTGTAACACACAAAAGAAACAAAACAAACCAATTTAGTCTTTTGTTATTATAGTTTTCAAAACAAATGATAAATGCGTTTCTCACCTTCGCCTGTGATTTTGCCAGTTCGTTTATTGTTTCCTTACTTTGTACTTCATTGAATGGATTTTCTCTGAGCCTGGTATTCGAGTGGACAATTTCCTGCTTCTTTTTGCTCATTTCTATCTTTTCTTCGTCCGTAAGTTCAACCCCATCGGGGACGAACATGATGTAGTTTTTATTTTTGTAGCCCCACGTATCAACGATGAACTTTTTTTCAGATAGTTCACACTGCTGTTCAACAGACGGCAGTGCCAGTAACATTCGCTGCTCGTCGTTACTTTTGTTCTCTTCTTTGTACAAGTATGAATATTTCTCTTGGTGTTTCTTGTCGGCTTCTATCATTAGTTCTTTAAAGCTTTCGTTGTCCTGGGAGGTGTGGACATTTAGAAACTGATCGAGACTCAGTTTTGGGTCACTGGATTCCTTATCCTGATTTTCTTGTTGTTGATCTTGTACGGGGGGATCTGTTTCTGTGTTTTGGGAACTGTGGATGTTGGCTGGAGTTTCGAAAGTTGCTGGACTAGGAACTGTAACAATTGAAATTCTATTTATCAGAATTTATTTATTCGATTAATTGTCTTACTTCGTTCCGTGGGGGGCCTCCGACCACTGTATTTCATGTGAATTTCTCTAAGTCTTGTCATATCATTTTTTTCCAAAGCGTCCAAGTAGTCATTTTGAGCTTTGAGCTTTTCCAAGTCAGGAAAGAAATCTCTCTGTATAATTTTTCCCATTTTCTAAAACAACAATCAGAATAACGATTATCAAACACTTTAAGATTCATTAGTTACTAAAATACTGGATTATTTAACAAAATTTACCTCTATGTAAGTTTCTTCGTCAAGTATGGTTTGTTTTCGTCGTCTTTTAGGTAACGTTTCGGGCTTTTTGAACACGATTTCTGTCTGAGAACTTTTTATAGGACTGGCCAACTGCTTCTCGGGGGATATTCCTGGACTTTTGGCCATTTTTGGGGCAATATTTTCGACAAAAACAAACGTATTAGTCAACAACACTTTGACACAAAAGTAAGGTTAACATTTTGACGTTTGGATAGTGTCTAACGTACCCATGCGTGATACAGGCGTGTCTCAAAAATCATGTTCTGCAATTTACGATTTAAGATTCTAATATGAAATTATTGCTTGAGAAATTATAAAAAGTTGTATAGTTAATCGAGGGGGTTTGATATTGCTTAGTTATTTAAATCGGAGTAAATGTCTGTCCGTCTGTTTGTTTGTCTGGGCTTATCTCAGGAGCTAGCAGACTTTTAATATTAACTTTACGAAAATAAATAAATCTTTATGGATTGCTTTGTTGTTTAGTCCCTTAAAAGGGGGAGACATTGAAGATAAGGCGATTAGTTAATTTTAAATTCTTCACTCATTAGGGATGGTGAATAAAGGGACTAAAGTGTGATAGAAAACAGCTGTTTATTTCCCAAATTAATTACACGCTTACTTAGTTGACTTTCAATGAATATCGTCACATTTCAAGTGAACCAACGATAAATGGAAAAAAAAACAAATGATGATTAGGAAAAGCCATTAGCAATTGCTACCGTGTAAACAAATTAAACCGGCCGTCTCTCTCCCAGTGTTAATTTCCTGACGGTATAAATGGGCCGATTTCAAAGCGCTACTTATATTTCCGACCGTACATATTCCTTGGACGCATATACACAAAATTTAATTTTAGACGAAGAAGAAATTCCTTTTATAATAAAACGAAAGAGGCGTCTACAAATTTTTCATCACCTCCGTATTGGTTTTCATTAATGCTACTGCTCTACTGCACGCACAAGCACGCGCTTTCTTTTCTTCCTCGTGCTTCTTTTTTTTTTTTTTTTTTTTTCTTCGTCGTCGGTCTCGCGAAACAAATGTGATCGTGTGTTGGAAAAAATTAACAAATGACAGATTTACGACTCGAAAGTGCCGAGCTTCCACTTTTCCGAAACTGTACCGTCGGTGTGTACTTGAAACATTTGGAAGCAATGATACACTCAAGTACCTTTGATATTTAATGTCTCCGTTTTCATATCCTGGTAGTTCATTAACTTTATCAGGGTTTGACTTGAACAGTACCGTAATAAGAAAATTTTTTAAGAATCGATACGTTTTTGGAATCGTGCTTAAGTTAAAGTAAATAAGAATGCGGTTTTAAATAATTTTTAAGTCGTTAATTTTGTTGCTGAGTACGGGCCTGGCTGAAATTTGAAGCATCCATCCGGAACGGATCTCCTTCCGATTGACGCATGCTAATGTCTTTGTGAAATTTATAGGAAAATCATATATGTGTGTGTTTTTCAAGTGTCTAGACCTCCCATATTTTTGTGTCACTGGGCCATAATTAATGACTTCGCCTAATACGTTTCTGTTTTGCTCTTTTTGCCACCCATGAGACACTCATTAGCACAAATTACACTCTCTACTAACTACTCTTTATTATTCGGACACTTTACTCGCTCAAACGGGCAATTGTTTTTCCTTCTTCAACTTTTTTTTTTATCTCAAAAGACAAACGAATTGCGGACATTTGAATTGAGGTGAATCATTAAAAAAGAGTCCAAGCGGTCAATTGTTTCTTCTGCTATTATAAATTTTAAGCAATTGGTAGATAGGGAGATTCGTAAAGAAAGCTGGTGCATCCCAAAAACTTACGAAACTTAAAAACGAAACGATCGACGAATTATGAACATTTGAATAGAAAGCAGATGTTTGTGAAAATGTTTTGCGTTATAGGATTGTTTTATCAGTACAAGTTACCTCATGGTTACACTTTTATCTCTGTGAAAGGTAATTTTTTGCTAGCCGGTCTAAATTTTAAAATACTTAAGTAACATCGGCCTCATATGGTTGGTTCGAAAATTTTAAAGACCACCGAGTATGTTGTGACATAATACCCAACCTTTTATTGACAACAAGAGCGTGTCTATCTCCTGGTTGATTTATGATGGGGCAATAACGAGTTGGTACCATGTGCTAAAACAGATCAAGTAGTAGTAAACTACTTCACTTCCAGCATCCCATCGTCACACAAATTCTAAAGTCAAACTGTCTTACAACATATTTAAAGGATAACACTAACTTCCTTTTGTATATATTAGACTTGACGACAATATACAGGGCGAATAAAAATATGTATCTATCAACAAAAAGTTTCACGGATTTTCCTTGGTATAATTTTAATAATTTAGATAGTCGAACAAAACAAATGAATTTATATTTATAGTTTCACCTGCGTTATGAAAGGCATTTCGTTAGAGCGCTTGTTTTTTTACCTCAAGGAGGTTACTAATGGCTTTTGAATGATATTTATTTAAAACATCGTACTTCTGGCATGGTGACTACCGTTGAAAGACGCCCAGTGAAGTGTCTCCAATGTCAACAAAATTAATATGAGCGTTTGTGACATGCACTCTACCTACTGAAGTTGCTCTCCGATTTTTAAAAGTAACTTTTTTATCAGAACAATTGCCGACACTTTTCACTCGTTTTCATTATTGCGAGAAACAATAAAAAAAACAATTCCTTCATCGGATGCTGCTATTCACTTGTTTTCCTTATAATTATAACAAAAAGAGAAACGGAAAAGAAGAAATACAGTTTTGTTTTGTCATGCAGAATTAAAGTTTATTTATCAACATATATTATTATGTATACTTATACATATACGATAAAACAATTATTATTGAACAACGCTTATAAACGAAAAAAAACAAGAAAAAACATTTTTAAACGGGTTAACAATCGAATTTAAAGAGCGAGGCATGGCGCGAGAGGCAAAGGTATCGGGGGAATGGGTGGTAAACAGGGAGGCAATGCTGGCGGTAGTAAAGGTGGCAAAGGTAATGTTGGAGGTAGAAGCGGGGGTAGAGGTAAAGCTGGTGGTAGGAATGGGGGCAATGGTAACGCTGGAGGTAATGCACAAGGGGGTAACGGAGGCAAAGGCGCTGGAGGTAGGCAGGGTGGCAGTGGTGGTAGAGCTGGGGGTAATGGTAAAGGAAGTGGTGGTAGAGCTGGGGGTAAAGGTAAAGGAAGTGGTGGTAGAAATGGGGGTAAAGGTAAAGGTAGTGGTGGGAGAAATGGGGGTAAAGGTAAAGGAAGTGGTGGTAGAAGTGGGGGTAAAGGTAATGGTGCCGGTGGTGGTAATGCGCATGGGGGTAACGGAGGTAGTGGCAATGGTAATGGTAGGGGTGGCAGAGGCAACGGCAACGGAGGTGGTGGTAAGCAAGGCGGAAGGGGAGGCAACGCTGGTAGGCTACAGGGTGGCAATGGTAGAGGTGGTAGTACACAAGACAATCCCTAAAAAATTATAAGACATTAAATATCGTTTTGCTTTAAATTGTGGTTGAAATATTTGTCTACATACCTGACCAACAAAGATTTGTAAAATGAGAAGTACAACCCCCGCCTTTTGCATCATGACGAATTAGTCGCACAGTTAAGGACTGGTATTGTAGTAATTGAAGCAGCTGATTGCTGAATAATTTTCGAAACGATCGGTCGACTTTTTATAGCGAAAAATTTCAGTTGTTATTGTTAACATATACAACACACAAGTCCATGCGTGCCTGGTCGAAGGAATTGTGCATTTTCCTTTTTCGAATCTAGGGTTCATTGGCATATACAGGACATGGTATTTTTTAAGACAACAAATTGTTAAACTAACACGTATTTGTATATACCGTAAACAATTTTCGTGTTTTTGTTTATTGTGATATAAAAATACTAAATATGCAATTTCAATTATGATGTTATTCGTATACTTCACGTAATTGTAGTCATTTCGAATGCTTTTGTCTGCGTCGATCGTCGGTTAGAAAATTCAGACATTATAAATTGGTATTAGGGCATTAACAATTGAAAAAATTGAGGAAAGAAACAAAATAACGTAAGTATTCTGATAACCATTTGTTTCTTGCGAACTATATAAAACAATAAATGTTAGAAACAAAACACACTGTAAACAACTGAACGCGAATTTGATGCTTCTCTAAATGAATAGACACAAAAATAAGATAAGTCTTAGGTGTGATGATAATTAAAACGGGTAGTTGTTAATAAAAGAATACGTAATCAGAGTGATTAAAATATACCAACGCTGAAGTTCCAGCACCCATTTTGGCATATATTTTGCTATCATAAAAATAAGAACATCAGAAGTGCAGAAGTAGCGCCCCTTATAAATACTTTCTCATATGGTCTACTCACTTACTTATAATTATATATCTGACGCACCCGGACATGTATTGATAAGAACCCAGGTAAATGATAAAATTCGACGTGCAAAAATTTGATATTTCCGCATCATCTTCTGCCGTCGTTCGCGACCTTGGTTGTAATCATCTGAGACGTGATTCAACAGTCGTGAGATCTAGTTCATCCGTCATCAGTGTCACTAATAAGAGATCTCTTTTGTTTTCCGCCAATATAAAAGGTATGACAAAAATCTTGCTGAATTAAGTTGTAAACAAACCACGACGGCGATCGTCATTTAACAAAATCTTTAGCCACCACAAGTAGTAAACCATCATGGTACCTTTGAAATCAATCTTTTTCGTTTTATCGGCGTTATATCTCTTCAAAGTAAGTTTAAAATCATTAAGATATCTATAATTAGTCTGTTCTATTATTAGGTTCGTTTCTAAGTACCTACCTAAATAAATAAATTTCTAGTCTGCCCAAGGTACTTGCGTATATCCGAGGCCTGACAAAGGGTGTTCCAGTTTGCCAGCAGTTAAAATTGTATTCGGCGCTAGTTCTGTAAACCTGGTACCTTCTAACAACGGTCCCATTTTTTATGACGAATCGCAACCGCAACCGCAACCCATTAATAATAATTATAACCCCTACTACCCTCCCAGTGAAAGTAATAGCCAGTACGAAAGTCAATACAATCAAGCCGCTGTTGTTAAATCTGACGATGGTTCTATAGCAGCATCAGCAACCGGTGTACAAAACCAGGGTCAGAGTTCATATAGTACTGCATAGTTCTACGACATGCGACATGGGCCAAAAAATGACTCTACAACTTCTTCCCCCGGGCTTAACTGGGAATAATAACATATACTCTTGTTAAAACACTAAATTAAACGACAAGAAATAAAGAACTTTATTAAAGTATCATGGTTTAACCATTTTTCTTCTCCCAAAAAATCAAAAACCTACCTATAATATTTTATTTGCGCATTTGTTTGTTTGTTTGTTCAATTGTTTAAGAAATTACACATAGAAGGGCCATAGGTACTTGCTCCTGACAATAAAAACAGTTGCCCAACGTTAAACAAAAACCAAAGCCCAATCGAAAAATAAGACTATCAATTATATGAGCGCAACGTTATGAAAAATGAATAACAAAAGATATATTGAAAAATACTATAATATATTTTGTTTATCTCTTCTTAATATTTCTCTTTCCCTATAGAAAAAAACAAATGACGATCAGATTTAAATTACAGTAGGTGGTAATAATTTAGTTTCTGGAAGTTGTTAATAATGAGATCATTAGAAGTATGATCAGAATTAAAAACCAAAATGTACGTTTACCAATTAGCTTTGGTTTATTTTCATCGGGGTTAATTAGGCACCAGCTTAATACCTTATAAGGTATTAGCATTAAGTAATATCTATAATGGTAGTAAAAATTGCTTCTATCCCGACGGGTACCACGATGACTTCCATCAATCAATGGAATTTTTGATAGGTATCTAATATTTACTAACCCTTAAATAACAACGTGAACCAAAGGTCAACCCTTTTTATTTTTTAACTTTCGTAATGGTGGTTAATGCAAAAATACAAAAACAAAATTATTTAACAGTAAATATATAAAACAAAACAAAATCGAAGAAATGTACTCACGGGCACGTTTCACGGAAGGGTAGCTTTATTAAGTAAAAAACTTGTAGGATCAGTTAAATAGCACCCCTAAGAAAATAAAAACATAATATATAGTAAATCCCAAAATATTAGGATAATACATAAAAATATTAACGTATATTTTGCCTTTTTTATTACAATAGCGTTAGAGTCATTGCCTATATATATTCATTAATAATTTGACGTAGCTGACCATCTTCAGGGTCAAACTAACTTCCAGCTCGACCCCGACGGTTCACGCACAAATGTAGGTTGGTTATAACATTCCAGGTTAAACATCTATTTATTAATGCATAATAATTGTTTATTCTAGTGGGCACGCTTTTAAGTTCAACAAAATGCTGTTGGTTTAATCAAGGTATTAAAACAAAAATATTGAGCGAATAACAATTACATACCTACCTATGACACGCACCATACAGCTCGTTTGAGTCTTAAGTGTTTCAAAATTCTGTAATTTAATTAATTAAAAATCTAATTTAGTAAACTGAGTCAGAAATTTTAGGTAAGAATAAGTACCAGTGCTTTGCACTTATAAAAAACAGAATATGAAACAAAAGTACAATAGTCTTACGACTTTTCGTTTGTCTGTTGTTAAATAAATGAGTGTTTCTCTTGTTTGAAAACAAAACATGCACATCGATGTCGACTCAGAAACGGAGACAAAAGAAACAAATTATTAGGTAGATACATAATAAAACAAATGAATTTTTTTTTTTAATTTTTCTGATCCGAACTGCAATCACATAGGTAGGTACGTGTGATTTTTTGTTCTTCCGCTCTCTGCGTTACCTTGGATCTAATCTTCTAAATACGTGATCTATAACGCGTTCCCTAATCTGTTTTTATCAATCTTGTTGTGCGTTGGTATAAAAAGTAAGATGGGCAATTCATGAATCGAGTTACCATTTGAAACTAGAACTAGAACTTTGTGTAGAAAGGTGATTGAAGAAACATGGGCTACAAAGCCGTTATTTTTGCAATAGCATCTTTACTATTAATCAAAGTAAGTCTGAATTTTACTTATTGTATCTTTTAAATCTACAAATTGTACCTACAATTGTAGTCGACCATGCAATCGCCCATCTACAACATGCCGCCTCTTCAATCGGATGGTTGTTTTCCCATGATGGAAGTCATCATGACTCCCATTAATGTAATACCAATGCCCATGTGCGAAGAACCTTACCCGAACCCTATACCATATGATGGTATATATGACCCCCCCAACTACAACTACCGCTCTGCTTCCGAATACCAAAACAACCAACAATCTATAACATTAACCGAGTCTAAGGACCCTGATGGTGATTCCACCGTAACTGTTGATGCGACATCAACACAAGGACAAGATCAATTTGATTCACAACAATCTTAAACGGCGGCATTTCCACACAAAAATTGTATCAGATTGATTAGGTGCGTTTTCTTTGTCTTGTAATTAATTAACCAAAAAAAAAATTTGCCCTTATAATAATATAATAAAACTTCTCTAACATCTTCAAAAATATCATTAAAAATATTCCTACACTAGGCTTTACTCGACACATCACAAAATTGTACAAAATTTCATCTATCCCTCGGGAACAAGATACTTTTCTGGATAGAACGTACCCCTGACAATTTACTCGCGGATTCGACCCTGTCGATGTCCTAAATACGTTTCAATGTTCGTGGACGATGACGTAACTAATCCGTTATTTTCTTCTGCAGAAATTAATAGAGGGTTTTTCCAGAACCGGCTTTCCCCATTAGTTCAAAAACATTACATCTAGATTTCAAATATGTTTTATTTCATTTATAAATAAGTAAATTAATAGATACAATTTCTTCTTCGTAAATATAAATTAACTAACATCATCTCTGATAATAGCGTCTATTTAAACTATATTTTAAGGCATTTAACATTTGATTGCTTAACTTACTATTAAACATATTTTTTATTCAAAATTTAGTACAAAATATCACTTTCATGTATTTCATTTTAATTTATTTTAAAAGCTAATCTACTACTACATTTCTATTAGATTATTAAATAGATAATATCGTAATTATCACTGTTATTCAATAATATCAGTTTTAAATTCGTTTTTTTTTTGACACTGAACACATCGATACACATAAAAATCTCTTTGGTTAATATCATTGGTTTTGGGAAACAATAAAATTAAATTAAAAAAAAAGCGAAACAGTAGCAGTACATTCAGCTGTTTTTACCCCTAGCACGGGGCCATAACGAGAAGGTGAATCAACATATATAAGATTGAAAATATAATACTTTGAAAATATACCCATCTACATGGAATAGATTAAATAAATATTTTTTCATCTTGGATTAAATTCATAAGCGTTTTGGTGAACGGGAGGCGCCCTCAATGATGCATTATTCCCATAAAACCCGTGATGATAATTTCCATACATCGTTCTCCCGAAGTTCCCTGAACTCCTTAACGATTTCTCATTACTGTACACGGAATTATAATTGTGGAGAATATTGTGGGGATGATAGATAGGACCGTAATTGCATATTTCTGCCGAATAGGGCTGACCGATGTGACTTAAACCGGCGCTTAATATATTAGACGGTAGCAAAGAGGTAGTGGTGTTTTGGGGTGGTACATTTTGAAAACGATTGGCGATCACGGAATGAGAATCTTGACTTGTAGAACTAATGTGAGACGTCAGATCTTCTTCTGAAATAAAAAGCAACAATAGAGCATCAAACAAAACAGAATATAAAGCAGTCGTTTAAAAACAACGAAGGTAGTTATAGTTTTGTCGTTGTTACGATTAGATGATGTTTTGAAACATTTGCAATTCAACGGTTTTGTTTGTTTGTCTGTTTTTTATTTTTTAATTATGACAGTCACCGTATGCAGTAGAATAGGTATTATTTACGATGCTTTATACATCGGTTTTTTTAAGAGAGCTCCTTACACAGAATTCATAAATTGTCCCGAAAGTCGAGCGGGTGAATTTACTTTTATGGAGAGAGGCCGGGCGGATTTTGTAAACAATCGGTTAAGTGCATGCCTCAAGTACACGCACATAATAACACCAATGTTGTTTATATTCCTGTGGGAACACATGGCTTCCTATCCCAAGTCTATAAATCACAGACGCAAATGATTGTTGTTTATTACACACTGTAATGTGTGTGTGTGTATATGGGTGTCTGTGGTATACCTAAAGAACCGTTTACAAGATTTACAGACCCGATCTTCTTTTTTTTTATGATGGTTCAAAGAAATACCATATTTTTGAAATTTAATTTGTTAATCTGTTTGTCCGTCATAAAAAGCTATCAGAAAAGGAGCTATTAGCTTTTTACGACGCATCCTGTGTACGGTCAAGGAAGCGAAACTTGGCGCAGTTTGTTTTAACTCCTTCAGGATTTAGTGACAACGTACAAATTGAACATGCCCTGTACGTACCTGGCGGATGTATACTAGACATTTAAATTCACGGTTGTTTAACAGACGTTTCCTGGATTTCAGGTGAATGCGTACGTACATATATCTATATATCTGTCAGTCGGTTTGTATATACTTACTTATCCAAACGGTGAGGAATAATGAAGCCCGGCCCATGCCTGACTTCGTTTGTTTTTTTAATTCGAAAGGGGAATCGCCCGATAGGTTGTAAAACAAAATGGCGGAAGAAAACAATAAAACAAAAGAACAACTTAAACGCCTTTTGTTATTTACTATATACGCTGAAGTAGATAACTTAATTAAATTTACCTTTGCTGTAGTTTGATGGGGGTGATCTCCCTGGTCTCGGCGGTTTTGTTGTTTGTTGACTATGTCCCAGGATTTCGGGACCGCTGCAACAATTAGTAAAGAAAAACATGAACGCTGCTTAAAGAAAAAGTGAATGTTGCAAACAGTCGCTGTTAGTGGTCATTTGTTTTTATTTGTTGTTTTGACAGACAAATTTAAACGTAACTTATTAATAATTACTGAAAGAGAAAATTTAGGGCAAAATCATATTTCTTAATCGCTAACTGCGTCCGTATGATTCGCGTTAGGTTTTCAAACATCAAATATGCGTTCGGAAGAATAACATAAACAAAAATTTAACGTCAACAAACTTGGCCAAAGCGACTCAATCTGAATGCCATAAAATTGCCGTAAAACAGACCAATTTTCGTCTGCGTAGTTTGAGAGTTATTTTCACTGAAATTAAGTCATAAAGTGAAGAACATATTATGTGTGTGTACATACGACGATAGATGGACGGATTTAAGTAGTAGATGGGCAATGGGTAGTCTGAAAAGTTGGAGGTATTTTTGAGCCACCGCATACATTATCCCACTTGCTGCATAAGTTTGCAACCTTGACTTAAAAGGGGAATTCCGAGGAAGAATTCCGTAAAACTTTAAAACTTTCTAAGTCGGTAAAACAGTTGTAAGAACTTCCAACAGTTTTGTTTGTATTATCGTAACAAAAGAAGGCGACCATAAAAAACAAAAGATTCAGGGAGTGTACCTATGCACATAGGTAACAAAAGAGCGTGCCCAAATAGACCATAACATAGTTTTCTTTATAAAATTAATTGCCAAACATCGTTTAGCGTGATTTTGAAGCAGCAGATACCAAAATAACATTTTAAACACATTTTTAGCTAGGCAATACATCGGCTATTCATAAACCTGCCAGTCTTTCAATGATCAAAACTTTATCTAACTTTATTTCGTCTCTTCTCTCTTCGTTAAATAATCAACAAACAAAATCTAAAAGATATTACGTTCTTTGTCTGCGATTATTTTCGTTTCGATGTAAATTTAGCTAAGCAAAATAATCGTTTCATTATTTCGGTATTAACGGTTTCTTCCCATAAACTTGCACATAAGTAAAGTATTGAGCACTTTGTTGCTTAATTCTATAGATACCCCATTAGCCGTTACGACGAAATGAGACAGTTGAAAGAAATCTAGTTAATAAACGAAATATTCTCTGTTGGTTTGAAGAAACAAAACTTAGAAGTAAACAAATGAAGCACGATCTTATTTTGATCTGCTGTTTTGTTATGATTTTGTTTCATTGTTTTTGACATTTTATAAAGGTACATAAGTTAGTTAACGTAATTTGTGGATTTCCTGACACACAAATTATTATTATTTGATTAAAACTTAAAAAATACGAAAAAAGTTTTTTTATTGTGGCATAATTCGTCCTTTATAGACATAATTTATTCGAGTGGGTATTTTTTTTTTGAAAGAGTGTCATAAAATTTTCACCTGGTCAATTATTTTAAATTTAAAATCATAAACCAAATGCCGGAAAGTTTTTATGTCTAACAGACGAAACGTGGGTCAATTTACTATGCGACGTTTCCTAATTTTAAAACTGAAACTCACACGTCTGAAGAGACAATTCCCTAATTTCCCGCAAATTTAAACCCTTTACGTTACCATAAAACTGTCTTGCGTTGTAACGCCGTCCGAAAATAACCTTCGGCTTCGGCTCACTAGTCATGTCAGCGTCAAACTCCCGTCTTAAAAATGTCAAACTGACTTAAGATGCCATGTAAATAATCACAACACGAAATCGAGCTAATTTATTACATGTTGTTACCACACTTATTATGCCTCATGATAGTCACGCCAAATTATACGAAAATTTTTATAAATCTGACGAATCAGATACGTATAAGTATTAGGTATATACTTATAAAAAAAAACTGATAAAGACAAAAGAAGTCTCGCTGATTTCATTGTTTTTCTTCAGTTGTCAGTTTCATCGCATGTAATACAAAAACAAACGATTAACATCGTTTGTTCAACTATTTTAAATATACTCATCACAACCGGCTTTGTCAGGAAAGGGAAGTTGATTTGTTTAGAACATGTTTGGCACTTTTAACCGAATGCCCCTGTACTGACTTCGACAAACAATAAACAATTTCTTTTTTCGGTCTAAAAACTCGAGATGCAGCAAGCAGTTGCTTACTTGATCAAAGAACTTAACAAGCCATATCATGCGGGTAGATATCCTTACTTGAGTTAATAAACAAACGAAAAAAAAATCTTTTTTTTTTGATATCTACACTTGTTTTGCATTCTTCTGTTTGCAATTGTTTTATATTTTAGAAGATGGGCTACTTAACAATTAGGAAATTTAAAGTGTGTGACCCATTTCGAATCGGTGCGTTTATTTCTGGTCTAAAAAGTCCCGAAGGGGCAGTGTATAGATATTTATTTGAAAATCTGACCGTTTTATATGAAGTGTTCATTGACGGAGAGTAAAAATATTCGTGGGCGCAATCGAATTGGATGGCATGAAAATAAATATCTTTCATTATTGCTGGAATCCGATAAAGACGAGAATTCCCACATTTCTCCTGTCACACGCATCATCTCCCGAATGTAACACACTTCCAAGCATGTAAATTTATCATGGTGTTTATGTTATCACTGAATTAGTGCTGTGTTTACGTTATCAATTTTAATCTTGAGTGCTTACGACACACTTGTAACACGCGACATAAACCAGCGGAAATATAATCGAAAAAAAAAAAGACTAATTCGCAAAAAAATATGCACTTATTACAATTATAGATAGTTTTTTGTTTCTTGTTAGAAAAAAAAGAAGCACATTTCAGTTAGATACTTTTTTGTTTCAAAAATCTGCGATCCTTTTTTGTTCGAGAATTCTCATTGCGCTTTTAAAAACAAATTGAGACGTGACGTTGCTTTGTTTTCGATGACAAAAAACGTTCGTTTGATAGTTTGTTTGTTTTTATTCGACTTTTTAACTTGGAAATTACAAACCGACGAGATGTGAGATGAGCAAGAAAAAAAGCACTATAATTAAGACTTACTTGTCATCTGGGTCACAATCCCTGAAGCCTTTGGCGAATGGATTGCTGGCTATTTTTAGTTGAGTTATCTGCAATTATAACGCGACTCTTAATTTAAATAGCGAAATTTATTGCAAACAGCGAAAAATCTAATAATGAAAATTAGACAGCGCTAGATGTGTATGTAACAAATCCACCAAGTTTCACTTACTCTGTGGTTCTGATAAGCTGTTACGGCAGTAAACGAAGTTTCGGGGAAAACGAATGTCTTAAAGTTATTTTCGGCCGCTTCGGCGGATGCTGAAGTCGTATTTTTGGGCGGAAGATACACTATGTGAAATCTCGGTTGATATCGATGCATCGAATTGAGAATTATCTGAAAACAAAAAAAAAAACAAACTCCAATCAACTTCAGCAGATAAACAAAAGAAAATGGATAGAACTTTTGTTTTTAGCTGGCTAATTTTAAGGCGTCCAAAACAGTTTCTATTAGACCAGACCTAGTTATGTACAGCGTGATTTCATTTTAATGACCAAACTAAATACTGGTATGTACAGGGTGGTTCAAACTAATAATTAGACAAAATATATCATAAACAAACGACATACGTGGCCATTATCGTCCAGTTGATTGTTGGTGAGCTTTAGCTTGTCGAAGGAGACAACTTGTTTCATCCACTGCACTCCTGTTGCGGGGCTATCAGGATGAACGTGTATCCTGGGCGGGGAGACCGGGTCAGCTTTTCCAGCCACCACCCAACTGGAACTGTATATTAGAAAAACATTAGTCATTTTTCTAAATTTCCTTCTTAATTTCCCGAATTACTCGGCACTGACCTATGAAATGCGTAACGATATCGCTTGTCGTCCAATGGGACAAAGTCCATCATGAGCATGTACTCAGCGTGAGGATCTAATCCACATATCCTGACTTGAAAAGTCGGGAACATCCTTCTGCCTGCTTTAGTAACAATCATTTCGGTCCCGAGGGAGTGAAATTCGTCCCATAGGGGCTTCATTTCTAAAACGGCGCCCGCTGCTGTGAGCGCCGGGGCCAGAGATTGGCTAAAACGGAAAAAATAAAAGACGTTGTAGGGCGAAGCGACATTTAGATACCAATAGATATTACAGAGAAACAAAAGACAGACGAGACTTAGAAAATTTGTTTTCGAGCATTACAAGAAAACAAACAACGGTTTTAAGAAGTTGTTTAGTTGTTTTATGTGTGGCAGCAAAACAAAAGGCGTCTAAGAAATACGATAGTTGTTTTACATATCAGAGAAAAAGAAACATTGTCGTTAGGATTACCAAAGAAACAAACGATTTCTAGACTAATTCTTTCAGGACGAATTACAAAAAAACCAAAGGAATATTAACAACATTTGACAACAGGTTTGAATTTGTGAATTAGGTTTAATGAAAAGTACACTTACCTTGCACTGTTTGACTTATTAGGGGTTGATGGTATAATGTTGTTATTGTCTCTCTCGTTTTCGACATCTAACGAAACAGAGTCGGCCTGGGTCAGGGGTGAATACGCTTTTCTGTCTTTGGCAGCGCTCAAAAGACATGCTATAGGAATAAACAAAATTGTACTTAGCTAGTGGGGGGTTTAAGTAATTGCTACAATCCAGAGAGAGCAACCGAAATTTTGAGCACATCGTGGACGATGCGCTACATGTCCAAACAAATGAGAGTTTTCTTGATTGGATGGTGTCACTAAATTTTATTCATATTGCCGTAATTTCTTGGTGGCTTGGTCGTATTCTAAAACGCCGAATTTCACAGATTGGCTTCGGCACATATACATAGAATCTCTCATTAGTCGAACATATTGCACATTTGTACAGTCACGTCGAAGATTTATAGTTCGTAAATGTTCCCTGGCATAATTAATTGGGGCAGTTAATCTTTGAAACCAAGAAACGGTTGTATTTGACAAAGATGAAGCGCTTTTTCGAATACGCGCGGTGGTATTTTAGAAAATGAACTTACCAAGAAATAAGAAACAATTACCGATCAAAGTCCCATGAGCTCGGAATAAACAGTTGAATATTTTCACCGCCAGGTTACAACAAATGACAAGAGAACTAAAAAAGTGACCAATCGATCGGTTTTCTTTTTTATCTTCTGATCTTCAATTGTCGGTTAATCGCAATTGTTTGATAGATTTCCAGACAGTAAAATAACAATTGCCACGGACCATTTATTTTCGGTAGCTTTAAATATGCAAGCGGTGTCATTTGTTAAGATTAATGTCGACTTGCTACGGGATTTGAGTTGATCTCTGTCGTCGGTGACAGATTTCCATGGAAACGCCCGAGGTGAAGGAATGCCCGTAAATCTGTCGAAATCCCGCAATCGAAGAATCCGCCGTCTGACAGTCTATTTGTACCGTACAAATTAAATACAAGAGAATAATCGGAAAAACAGTTGAGCGTCAATGAAAACATTTGAAATTAAAAACATCCGAATGATGAAGTTATTATCAGTTGAATATAAAGAAGAATGTTCTTGTGAAATTATTAGTAGCAAATTGTTCAGTTTCTGAGATGTAGTATGTTCTTTTTACCTTCTATTTGTTTCATTGGGGTGACATTAGATGGGTAACTCCAGGGGTCTGAAGAGTAACAACAATCAGACGAAATTGGCAAAGATGACGATTCCATAGCCATATTTGATAAGTCCCGTGTTACTTGACTATATTCGGAATGGTGCATTTTTGATTTTTACGATACCCAATTTTAAATATGCTTTTGAGACACTGTAACAAAAGAAAACAAAAAACAAAGTTGTTTGTTTGTTCCGAATTTACAATACAAGGCAGTTTTTCTTTGATGATTTTTGGAAACATTACACAATCGACGATAGATCTCATATTTTCTACGCTCTTTTGTTTTGTGTAAAGAGGAAAACAAGAAACCGAATAAACTTTCAAAAACGAGTTGTTGACAGCGTCGGTAATGTCTCTCTTTTTTGTTTTTCATTTTTTTTTTTCAATGGCCGATACGATTTCCCTAATGATCACGTTGATGATAGCAGCAGTACGACTGTTGCCACGGAGTCTGCCACAATTTTTTCCAGCCATCATAGGGATCGACAGAAACAATTGTGGCAGCTGTAACCTATTAGGCAATTGTTTTATTAAAGTACGGGCTTTGCTTCTAAAATAGAAGCAACTGTTTAGAGTCGGGAAAGTGTTGCAATTGTTTTCAAAATCGCTCGAACATTTGCTAAACATTTAGGACAAATTTTGCCAAACGTGAACGTGATATTCCCAAAATTGGCACAACAAACTTTAAATCGCTCCACAATGTAACAGATACAACAATACATAGACTAGAACTATTGTTGGTCATCTTAACCAGCTGAATCAATTGATACCAATTGTTTTTGGAACTGACCTGAACTAATTAGTAGGGAATATTTTAGAGTCATTTTGGAATATTTCTAGAGTCGATATTGCTGTAACAATAAGCTCGATCCGCTAGGGTGACTTCCGCTTTCTGGTTCGACCATTTTCTTTCTAAAAGTTTTCCCTAATGATGTTATACTGAAGGGAAAAGGAGAACATGGCGACTACTATTGCTCTCTAGAAACAAATTGCATTAAAAATTAATAAAAATTTAATAAAATGTCAGTCCAAATAAAATGGGTATCAATTGACTCAGCTGAACCCAAGTAAGATGGGTTCTCGATAACCATAACCGACGCAAGAAAATCACAATTAATAAATCCTTTCGTTTGTGACAAAATTTTTGAAGACGTTTCTCTTTTTCTTTTTATATATTAAACAAAAGAGTTCTTATGTAGATGTTCCATTTTTTATTATAAAATAAAAGAATTCAAAGTAAAAAAAGAGAGTACGCCAACAATTATACGGATATGCTTTTTTTTTTAATAAAAGAGAGTGTAGAGAGTATGAGATCATTCCTTTTCAGGCAAAAGTTTTTTCTAAATAATGTCACTTGTGATTGGTAAAAACGCTAATGCATAAGTCCTATGTAATGTTTTATTGCAATTGTCATTAGGTTTTACTGCTGGACGCACCTGTTGACTACCGTAAAATGTCAGCAGACTGCGGGGACGCGTCTACCATCGAAGTCTCTTCCTTTTGGTACACGAAAACAAAATGCGCACCTGTTTTTGTCTATTCGTTTTTCAATTTTCAATTCGTTCACGAACACAAGCACACTTTATTACATCACCAGACGCACACATGCACGCGATAAAGATAGTTGTACACGTAAAAGTAAAAACACACGTCGTCACCTAGTCCGTTCGTCCGTCGATCGGGTAGTTAATGTAGGTAGGGGGCTGTTATCATCACCACCGTCTTTTGTATGCTAATACCTATATACAGACACACACATACATAGGTAGCCACGTCTATATACTTATTTTCGTCGCGGTAATAAGTCCAATCAGCCGTCTTGGATATTTATGTATATATGCGGTGGACTATCGCAGGTGTAAAACGGGCAAATTAATCGACGCTTGACGTCGCGACGCTGCCGTCGAGACGGACCGCGGTGGCTCGCTTGATTTTTGTCGTTGACGCGAACGAACGCCCTGTCCAATGCCGTTACCGTTGAGTGACTAAGTTGCCTCATTTTCACACATGGTGTCAACGGGCTTGCGGGTGGTATGCGCCCGGAAAAACCTATCGTTAATTGGGCGGGGTCTTCGGCGACTTAAGTAACATCAGGGCGGAGCTTCGGGTCCGAGATCACCGCGTTTGAGTGTACAGTCTCAGAAAAAAATTGCAGATACAAATAATCGGGTATGGGGGTTGATGATGGTGATAGCAGATTATCTCTTAAATGTGGTTGAAAAGGCAAAATGCATAAAATAACTCAACGCAGTTTTTTCAGATTTTTGACCCCTCCCCCTTACCCCACATAATACTGTGTAACCTTTTGCTCGACCCCGTTCCCCTTTCCAACGTTATGTAACACCCTACACCCTAGAGGACACAGAGACTTGTCCACGAGACCCGTGAAAAACCTCAGTCTCTGGGTCAGACAGAGGTAGGATTAAGGATAATATAGAAAATTGTAAATTAATATTCTTGTTTTGGGAAAATTGTATCTATAGAAAATTGATATACTTTTGAAATATCCAAATAGGGGTGGTTGAATTTAGGATAGAAAGGATGAGGTATTCTAGATCGTACCCTTGCACTGGGAAACTCACCTTTAAGGAAAATTCTTGAACCAAAGTAATGCATTATGTCTGGTTTAGGTGTCTAGAATTAGCTAAAAAAAATAATAGAAATTAGAATGAGATAAAAACAAAAGTAGAATTCTATGGGAAAACCTCAGACTAGTGGTTAGGTCTATTAAGAAGGCTGATACCATAGTAGGGAAATTTCAACGAAAATAAGGAGTCGTTTCAATTTAAAGACAGGATTTTTGAAAACCTAGTGTGATATGAAGAATTTGATGAAAATTTGATCATTTCATTCTTTATTCACTTTTACAAGTATGTCTGCAAATTTTCGGGACAATCTCCTTAATAACAATTAAGGACAATAACAGGAATTGTAAGTAATATCCTTGTCCATAAAATTTTTTATTTCATCCTGGAAAACAGCTTAAAAACATCTTCAATCATTACAGAATATGAATAGGTATTGGGTAAATATAATCAAATATATCAGGATCGGTTAAGCATTCGTTAAAGGATTTTGAGAAAACCGCATTTAAAAATCCCGAATCAAACAAATGAATCTAATAAGAACATGTCCAATTTTGAAAAATATTGGCCCGAAAATTGGAACAGTTAGACCGGAGGTATTTTAGATAATAATCCTTGCATTTTGGGAATATCTCTGGACTAATGGAATTTAGGGGTAGTTCAGTATCGCTATTACATAGAATATTTGGAGGGGGTGAAATCTTGTACTTGGGTACTTGTAAACTGGTACAGTTTGTTATGGGTGCAGGGAACGAGGAAGAACCCTTGAGTTGAGTATAAATTCGGTCCATAAACCTTCACTAATTCCTACTGAAACAAAACACTTTCATCGATAAAAAGAAAAAAAAAAACAATTGAATTTTCCGTCCCGTTTTCTTTTTCTTTTTTGTTTTTCGCTTTGGAATGTACCTCAGCAAAGGCGTTTCCTTGTCGACTAACGTCACGCCTTTTACTAAAGCGGATTGGAGCTTTAGAAGTGGCGACGCGTACCGACGCTATTCATCTTATTTTCGGACGCTTCCAAGGCATTTTTTTCGTCGGACCTATTTCTCTTCTAATAATCGGCGGCGGCGCTGAGAATGGATAAATTACTTTCAAAGTTGCGCACATTTTACAAACAATCCATCATATCGACTTTCGAGCTCGCCATTTGATGATCCTCGTCGTGATACAGAAAGAGATAACGATACTACTATCCACTTAGCTTTTCGGTTAAAGTTTCAACGAGGCTTTTCGAAGTGACGAAAAGTTTAATCTTCCGGTCAATTAAGAAAGTAAAAGACGAACGCTTATTTTTGTTTTGTTTATTTGTTTCGGTTTCATTTTTGTTTTGACGTAATTGTTTTACCTGCTTAGGTACTTGTAGATATTATGCTATGCGATGAAAATGTTTTAAAACAAAAACGACGAAACGGCGCTACGTTATTGTTTATCGGTCAATTGTTCTTCGTACTTTAAATTATAATTAATAATACGTACGAATGGACTTTCACGAATTCTGCGATAAAATTCTTACAACTTATGTTAAGTACTGATAGATATTGAAAGAAAATTTGCTTATAAAAAAGATATTTATCGAAGAAATTCTTAGATATTAGTTTACTTACTTTTAATACGCGGTTGGGATATATCTTAAATTATAAATAACTTGCGGTCTACGGTCGAAAGGAGAGGGTGCAGAGGGGAAAGGGGTCATGTTGGGCCGTGAATCTGTCAACGAGTCCGCAAATTACGCGACGTCGTGATCTCGGAGGGCGTCACGACGCCGACGTCTTGCGTGCCAACAACACACGGTCGGTTTATATTAGATCATCCGAAACCGACGTTGTTTCTACTGTTCCAGAAATTAGTTGAATTAGTAGGCAGTAGATATTTAGAAGAAATATTAAAAAATAATTAAACGTTTCACACTAGGTACATAGGTATTGGGACTTAAGTTTAATAAACTGTATTAAAATTCAAAAAAAAAAAAAAAGAAAATCTACTAAGTACACGTGGCAGTAGTAGGTAATTGAAGCTCTAAAATGCAGTTATATAATTGTTTTTCGAGGGATTGACTAAGTATTTATAAAAAATGCTGTGACTTAAAACTATTTTTATTAGGCATTTTCTTGAGTTTTATCTACAGTGTGAAAAAAGTTAGTTTCTCTTTAAAAATAGTAAGTAATCGATTTAACTAATTTTTCTATCCCTTGGGAACAGTATTTTTTTTTTTAATAAAAGGTACCCTGCGTCCTTTTTTGTACCCCTGACTCCCGTTGATGTTCTAAATACGTGTGAGTTTTGGCTAGGGGGATTCACGCACCTACACCTAAGATGGCCGCTAAGAGGCGCTAAAATATTCCGAAAAAGCTCTACCAAACCAAACTTTTACATGCGCATCTCGTACAATTACTTTTTTAACATTACAACTCCCTAAACTCCCCAATAAGTAGGGGGTACGTCCTTGACATGAGTTTGGCAAAACAAAAGACTGCTTTACTTATTAAAACGTTCTTCTTGTGCTTGATAGCCACGTGTCATCTTTCGTCGCGACCCGAATCGGGTGATACGTGAAAAACAAGCGACAGTGCTGATGTATCATCGGAACTCCATTCATTTTTGCTATTTATACAAAATTACACGATGGCAAAGTCCTCGGTCGCCCTTGTGCCCCTGAAAAAAAAACAGACACACGCACACAGAAATACATATAGGTATAAAATGGGTTCCATGTATACTTCAAATGTTTGTCGTGTGTGCGAGGTACAAATCTGGGTGCGAAAAACGCGCCAACGACAGACATATGGGATGAGGAAGGAAACCATGAGATGCACTGCTGTCATCGCATAGATAATGTATCGCCCTCCGTCTTTTTCTCCTTCGTCTTTTGGAAACATGTATCAGATGCGAGCAACCGGCTCCCGGCTCCTTATTATTGCTACCGCATGTATTTTACGTTCTTCTTGTACTTGTACGTAATGGGGAAGAAAATGATTTATTCAGAATACCCTTCAAAAAATAACATAATAAAATAATATAAAAAAAACTACATATTTATAGAACGAAAATGGACGCACTCATATTAAGGGAAACAGTTGCTGATCAATAGAATTATAGAATTATGGCTTTTGTTTTGGTTTAAACAATTACGATAGGAAACAATTGTAGAAAACAGAAGTAGACGCTTTTTTGTCTTTGATCGTCAAAGTAACAAATGCCGCTTAACGTCTTCTTTTGTTAAATTGTTTAGGTTTATCTTTTGTTGATACGTGGTTTATTGACTGTGCGCCTAATTACAATCACAAGTTAGGGGTAAAACATGAACGTTTTTCGGTTAATACCTACACTAAGTGATTTGCGCTTGTATATTTAAAAGTAGAAATTATCCTTTTACTTAGGTTAGGGTGACACCTGTAATCGAAAATCCAAACATTTCCAAAATATCTTAGATTACTTCATACTTTTAAAGGTTACTATTTCGAAATATATTACCAAATTTGTGTAAAGTTTACTACTTATTTGAATGTTAAAGTAGAACTCTTCATTTCGTTTCGAAATCTTCAGGTTGCCGATAAGCTCAGTCCTTGTTTTTCACTTGATCCCTTAAAGATGTCGCCACCAATCCATACGACACGTAATTCCTTCACGAATACGAAAAATTCACTCTATTTACGATTCGAATTATAAAACAATGCGCTCAAGATTAGGATCTATCGCCGTAATTAATATTAATTATTATCGGCATGCAGGAATATTAAATAATTGATAGGCCACGCTTTGACGAACAATTGTAAATTTATACCTGGATAAAATACAATGTGTTACACTTATGCTAAATAAATGCAATATTAACGCACACGTTATCAAAATTTCAACAATATCAATAACATTATTAAATAGCTATTATTTTCAGAGTAGATTGAAATAAACATTTTTAGAACAACAATTTTCAAAGAATTTATCATTTAAATGTTTTTAGGAAGGGGATGGTTCTGAGTAAATATTTTCGCTTTTGAAACAAAAAAAACGAAATGTTTTGTTTTAGTATCTGATATAAAAACAATTTCGTGACAGTATTTTGTTTACTTATTAGATTAAGAGATCCATAAGAAAATATACCATAAAACAATCTTGTTAATAAATTTGCTTAATTATTATCTCATCGGTGTCAAAAGTTCCCATATAGGTAGATACTAATACAACAAAAATGGTTTCAGGGTAGATTTGAATTAGTACGAGGTATTAAGTTTTAGGTTTCACCCGCGGCTTAGCTTGCGTTGATGCCCTAAATACGTGTCAAAGTTCATCCCCCTCTATACCACGGGAACAGTATTTTTTCTGAATAAAAGGTACCCTGTGTCCTTTTCCGTACCCCTGACAATCTACCTACAAAATTTCTTTATAGGTTTTTACC